AAAACGGCTGCCTAGTTGTTGACCTAAACCCACAAAACGCCAAAACCCCCTCCTTTGTGCCCCCCACGTTATCTTCCCCCCAAAGAAAGCTTCCCACTTACTGCTACTATTAACATTAACTTTATTTAATATAAGATTTTATTTGATTTTTATTTTGATCTTAAATATAAGACTCCAATTCACTTTGTTTCTCATATTTACTCAATTCTTTTCAAAATAGTCCTTCTAATAATTATAGTTCTAATCAATACACTTAATTAGCAAGGATATTTTAGGAAAACAACACCTATTTAGGATAAATAACTAACTCAACTTACTTCCTTAATCTTCTCAAATTAGTCAACTCGCTCTTATAATTAGGACCAGAGGTAGTAAGATTTAGCAAATCCAACCCCCACCAAAACAAAAGAAAAACAAAAAAGAACACAAAATTCCATTTCATGAGTATATAATTATATTTATGTTGAGACGCAAGAGAAAACATTGAGAGAAATAACCGACAAAGCTACCATATGGGGTGTTTCAATGAATAGAGAGAGGTGGTCAACAAATGCAGGGCGCTCCCCATTTACTTTTAGCACTTTCCATTCGGACTCCATATGCCCTTTTACATAAATGCCCCCCAACCTGTCTCCATTTAATTATTATATTACAACGGTGGTAGTCATTCACAAGTCACAACCCTTTTTTTAACACCCCCCCAAAAAAAAAAAAATCCTTTACAGCCTTTCTTCCTAATAATTTATGATCCCCCTCAATCGCCCCGGTTCTGGTTCTGGATTTTAGCTACCTCCCGCCGCATTTTTGTCCTCCCCCCCCCCCTTCATCTTTTTCGCCCACATAAACCCACTAATATTCAAAATGAATATATTCACAAGCCAAGTCAAATATATTTATTGGCTTCTTTGAGCATGTGTTTAAGGCTCACAAACCAGTAGTGCATGTGAGATCTTTAATTTTGTCAATCCTGGTTACATGAAAAAATTATACTACTTTCTTCTTTACATATAAAAACTAATTGACTAATTTAAATAGATTAAAAAAACAAGTTAAGTTATTTATTTATAATAAATAGGTGTTATCTTTCTTAAAATATCCTTACGAATCAAATTTATTAGTTAGAACTATCATTATTAAAAGGACTATCTTAGAAAATTAAATAAATACGAGAAACAAAGAATTAGAGTCTTATATTTAGAATCAAAATAAAAGTCAAATAAAATCTTATATTAAAAACTGATAGAAGTAATATTCGTTTATAAGTTACAAAAACTACATGCAATCATCATAAACAGTATTAACTTCTACACAGTCCTGAATCTCGTTTTCTCAAACACCCCGCCCCCTTTTCCAAATAAAAAAAAAACCCCCACATCAACGCCCTATTTTTGTCACGTACCAGACCTTTGCAAGTGGCGGATCCTCTTTAATTGATTAAACCCGGTAAGGCCGTCTCTCCATTTCATATCATTCATCAACCAAATCGAACTCACGAAATCGTCCTATCCTCCTCCTTTTAATCTCTTTGGGCCCCTTCCCACCAAGCCGAGGCCCCATATCAAACCCCAAAGATTAATATACAATTTTTGTTCACACTCATTCTCCAGGTCTGGCCGATTGTGGGAGTCCTTTTTTTCTTCTTCTTTTTTTTTTTGGCCAGGGGAAAGAGTCTTATTTTTCTTTAATAATTTGGTATTTATATAGAGTATATTTTAATTGCTTTTTTAATTTTATTCTTTCAGCATCGTTTAACTGTGCTAACAAAACAGAAATATAAATATAAAATTGAAAATTAAAAATAAATACTAAATAATTGTAGAGTGGTTTTGAAAAGAAAAGGGTCAGGTTGAAGCGGATAAGTTCCGACCGCCTTTTTTCTTCTTCTTTTTTAGTCGCAACGGGTTAGGGCTTTGGAGGGAGCAGAAAAGGACAAAGAGAGGGAGGGGGTCCCACCACTCCAATGTCCCGAGAAAAATCCACTCAATCAAATCACAACAACAAAAAAGGGGAGCTTCCACGACACGTGGCAAGCGGCACACGCCTCTACCCACTCCCGACGCCTTCTTCTCCATCTTCCTCACGTTCATCGCATCGAAACTCACTCCACCTCCTCCACACCGCGGGACCCACACTGGCGCCACCTGTTGATCTCTCCCGACACCTCTCCGTACTTAATACGACAAACCTCTCCACCTCCGGCCCAACAACACAACATCAATTTTCATTTTTAAAATATAAAAAAAACCACAAGAAACCAAATGACGTCACGCCCTCCTCGCTACCAGACAAGGCATGTGTCGCCCTCGGTGGTAATTAATTCGCCAGCTGAGGGCGTTGAGGTAAATTCAAGGAAATGCGTGGAAAGGAAAGCGGCAAGGCCTTTTGTCACAACGTGTCTTGGCGTCGGCCGCACGCAGGAAACCCTGTCTATTGCGAAACCACCCCCCCGGGGGGGCTTTTTCTTCCTTCAAATTTTTTCCCCGCTGCTTCCACGTTTCCGGTTTTCCTTTTCTTGTTCCTGTAATCTTTCCCCTAAATTTTTTAAAATATTATTGAAAAGTAAAAAATGGCTTTTTCCAAAAGAAAAACCCAAAATTAAAAAACTAAAAAAAAATAAAACTGTACTATTTTTTACTCATAAAATATTAAAATATCACTCACTTTATATAAAATTTTAAAAAAACATTTGAGAGGTTGGGACATTTCAAGGGACATCAGAGAGTTGGACATTAGAGGCCTGTTGTCTTTATGCAAACTATTACAAAAATTATTTTAAAAAATAAAATAAATTGATATCTTATGTTTAATATTAAATTAAATATTAAACTAACTCTCATATGTTAGACACAAAAATATGCGGTATCATTTAAGAGTTATCTATAATAATGTATTCTGTCTCCATCTCAAACTGTACGTAAAACATTATCGCACACCTTATGTGCATATAAAAACAGTGCTATCGATTTATAATAAGAATTAGAACATAATAGGTCAATATAATTTAGTTATTGTTTGGCAGAGTGATTTAAAAGTGGATTAAGAAAAAAAACTTCACTCGGTGAGAAGAAGTATGCTATCCTACGGTTATATGGGAAGGAAACATCGCCGTCCATGTACTGATTATATTGAATCTCAAATATAAGCCATATAATTTATAATTTATTTTTTGTCCTCATTTAAATGTAAGCTTTATTTTTTAGTATAAATTACATTATAAAATATATCTTATCTTTGTTCTCAAACAAGTATAATATAATTTTTTACCAACACGCCACATTTTGCTAAGCTCGCATTAGTACCATTTTTTTCGCCGTCATAACTCATCTCACCGGTTTAATCAAAGTTGGGAACATTGGGGTTGACAAACTATGTTGGAGCGCATACTTTTTAAAATGCCAGAACATATACTCTTGTTCAATTTTATTCTTTCACATTTATTCACATGTTTAGCAGACATTTAAATTCTCAGAAAGGTAACGAATGAAAAGACATAATAATTCACGGATAAAAGTGCAATTTTATTCTTAATCTTATTACATTTTTATTCTAATTCATATGAAATTTTGACCAGCAGTGTAATTATAAGCTTGTTCTGTTCTATCGGGGGGAAAAAACTCAGCGTGTTTTAAAATGGGGGTGAAAACAGACAAATATGAGCAGCATAAAAATAACAAGATGTTACTATTTGATGAGTTCAAATCATTGTCAAAACTATTTGTTGAAAGACCCCTCCAACTCCAAGCATCCATTCACACTCGCAGTTTCATAATAAATCAAAAGCGATAATATAATATTTTTGCGAAAATATTTAAAGTTAAATCGAAGCTAGTGACGGTGATGTTGTTGGTATATGATAAAATGGGCACTGTTTTAGGGAAACGACAAACACAAGGGTCCTAAAATCACTATTTTTAATTTGACAAAAAGAAATCAAATGCCCAAACACATCTTGTAAACGAAGCCAAAACGGACTTGTCAATAGCCATCCAGAAAAGCTCCGGACACAAATCGCAAGCCACAGGTCATTTATCACTTTCCCTCTCACTCTCACCACACTAACAAGGGAACAAAACGAGATACGTGTGTCATATTTTGGAGCAAATCAATTATCTAATCATTCAGTTACTTCTGCTTATTTTAAATGTTTATAATTCTTTTTAACATAAATTAAGATACAATTTTTCTCAGCTTTGTATTCAAAGATATTTCTTATAAGGCATTCCAAACAAATCTCAATTATTATACATATTACGTGTTTGCTTGAAACTTTCAAACGTGGTTTATTAAAAAAAAAACCGTGGTCAAATTATAAATTATATAAATTTTCTGAAATTTCTTATATTTATAGCAATTAATTATTTCCATATATCTTGCTAATACTAAAAATATTAATAATTTATGTAAAAATTATATTATAGTATATTTCTATAAAAATTAAATACAAATTATAATATTTTTAACAAGTTAAATATGTGTTTGTATTAATTTTACAAATACAAAAGGGTCTTTATGTTTGAAAATTGAAAAAAAAAAAAAAGAGGTATAGAGAGCTGCCAATATTTAATACCACACAATGTACATTACATAAGATTATCTCCAATAAAATATTAGTGTCCAGCAACAAAAACAAAAAATGACGTGTAATTTACTTTAATTATTTTGACCTTAAAATGATCATTGATATTAGTTATCTCGTTGCCTATATTATCCTATTTTTGGCCAACTATTGCCTATATTAATAATTTATGTAAAAATTATATTATCCTATATTATCTCCTCTAATCTGGTAACAAAATTGGTGGCCAAAAATACGCATGGGCCGAAATTAAATTCATTATCCATAATTTAATTCCCAATCAAAATTACATATTTATTCAAAGGAATGGAAAGTTTACATAAATATATGCATGGGATTGAGAATTGAGAAATAATAAAAAAAAGGGGTGTGGGGGCTGGGGCCCATTTAAACAGTTTAATTCGGCCGCCTGCTTTGTCGTCTCTCTCGTCTCCGTTCATCCCGTCGCTCCTTCGCGTTTGACCCTCCCGTTCCTGTTTCTCTCTTCTCTCTGTCCGTTTCTCCCTGCACTGTTCCCTCTGATCTTTCTTGCTCTCTCTTCCTTCCTCATCTCCATCTCTCTCTCTCTCTCTCTCTGAAATCTTTGAACTTTCTCGGCTCCTTTTGTTCCCTTTGTCTAGATAGTCGGGTCTCTTCTTCTTAAGTCACCTAAATCCTGCTACCCATGAGCAGACCCACATCCTAGTCCTCTGTGGCCTCGCCTTTCATCCCTTAAATCTCCTTTCATCGTCTTCTCATTGTCTTCAAATTCCTATAATTGTTTTCATTATTATGAGGAGGCATAAAAGGCTGCCTCTTCCTGCCTCGATCCCTCTTGGTCTCTAGGTGTCTTCTGTGCTTTCCGTTTCATCCTTTGCTGTGTATCCTTAGATAGTTCAACAGACATGGCTGGTAGCAATGAACTCAACCTTAGTGAATCCAAGGTACCGACCTATCTTCCTTTTATCTTTACCATCACTCATCTTGCGAAAAATTCTGGACATGACATTTTGGTATTTTGGCGAAAGAAAAGACATTTTGGTTGAGTTTGTCGCTTGCCTTCTTTCTTTCGTACTCCCATCTTTTCTTTGTCCAATTATGTGATGCGGGGTCCTGATGATCACAAGTTTCTGGAGAAAGTTTTGATCTTTCGCTTCAATTGCAAGGGCCTGATGATGTTTGGGAATATCTCTGATCGATGGGGATGTGTTTCTTCATGTTTTATTGAATAAGATGATATGATTCATGAGTCGGTTTGATTTTTTTCCTTGTACTTTCCATTTCTTCCATGTAGGCCACGGTTTCTTGTTCTGGTAAGTTGGAAAACTCGGTTTTCATTTGGTGCGACAAGCTGAAAGTTCTGATCTTTCTTTTGGTGATTTGTGAGGTGTCTTTGGGGATACATCCGTTTGTTTTCCTTTCTCCGCATTAATTTCCCCTTCCTCGTTCTCTAACTTTCTGGATCGTCGTCTGATCCATATAGTTAATCTCCAGTTCAACAAAGTCACTGATTAATGTTCTAACAAGTAATATCTTCAATCTTGGCTCCTTTTGTAGTGCGTTGTTCCACTCAATACTTGGGTTCTCATCTCCAATTTCAAGCTGGCGTACAATCTCCTTCGTCGCGCAGATGGAACATTTAACCGTGAGCTAGCCGAGTTCCTTGATCGGAAGGTCCCTGCCAATACAATTCCAGTAGACGGAGTATTCTCTTTCGATCACGTCGATCGAAATACTGGCCTCTTCAATCGAATTTATGAACCAGCTCCTGAAAGTGAGGCTAAGTGGGGCTACATAGAACTGGAAAAGCCCCTGAGTACCACCAAGGTTGTCCCTGTCATCATCTTCTTCCATGGTGGAAGCTTCTCTCATTCCTCGGCCAATAGTGCTATCTACGACACTTTCTGCCGCCGCCTCGTCAACATTTGCAAGGCTGTCGTAGTCTCCGTGAACTACCGCCGTTCACCCGAACATCGGTACCCCTGTGCCTATGAAGACGGCTGGGCTGCCCTAAAATGGGTTAAATCAAGAACGTGGCTTCAGAGTGGGACTGATTCCAAGGTTCATGTGTACCTAGCCGGGGATAGTTCTGGAGGCAATATTGCACATCATGTGGCTGCGAGGGCAGCCGAGGAGGATGTTGAGATTTTGGGTAACATTCTTCTTCATCCATTGTTTGGTGGAGAGAAGAGGACAGAGTCAGAGAAGAGACTGGATGGGAGGTACTTTGTGAGATTACAAGACCGTGATTGGTATTGGAGGGCTTTTCTTCCTGAAGGTGAAGATAGAGACCATCCTGCGTGTAACCCTTTTGGCCCCAGGGGAAAAAGTCTCGAGGGACTTAAGTTCCCTAAAAGTCTTGTTTGTGTGGCTGGTTTGGACCTTCTCCAAGATTGGCAATTCGCATATGTACAGGGTCTCAAGGATTCGGGTCAAGATGTCAGACTCCTTTTCCTGAAAGAAGCTACTATCGGTTTCTACTTCTTGCCCAATAATGATCATTTCTATTGCCTCATGGAGGAGATAAACAAGTTCGTCAATTCTGACTGTTAATATACTACTTAACCTTACCTACTACAACAAGGCCATACATAACAAAAGCGCCACACTTCTCATGGGTTCTATTTTTGTATCTTCTTCTTTTTTTCCTCTTTTCTACTTCATATAAATATGGTGTGTAGTTATAAAAATTGCGTAGGGGATGGATTTACTTCATACTATTGTAACATCCATGGCGGTCAATCCGAGAGTTCTGAAACTCCGAGGACTCTTTGTCTGTTATCTGCCCATGTCTTTCTGAAGGGTAGTTTCTGCAGTTTGAAGTAGAAAGCTCTGTTCGGTCAGGTGGTTTGTCAAGCTTGCCCCACTTATCCTTAATGACCACAGTCACAGAAGGAAGATGGAGGGCGAAGCGCCTTGTTGGTCGTCACTTAGGCTAAGGAAATGGCTTCCTATTGTAGCACTAATTTCTTAATGTAAAGCGGAGCAAATCCCATGTTATTATGAACTTGTATGCTATACTTATCAGACTTTTTCCTATAGTTTTATCAAGTAGTTAACGTTACAGTATTATATGTGCACTTGTTCTTGTTCTGTTCTCCTGTATCCCGCTACCCGCTATATTAAGAAGTTTAAAATTCACGGCTGTCACAGAGGGCTTTCCAATCCTTGTAATAACATTACATCTTAATGTCATTAGGATGAGTCATGTCTGATGCATTGTTCATCACCAACAGTTGTTGCTGTAGTGAAAGTACTTATTCATTCTCTGGTTCTTCTTTTCTCTCTTTCTCTGGGCAATTAGGTTGGTAGGGTCAAGTCGCCTCAAAAAGTTGATACACATGTTGGTAAAGGGGAAGAAGATTTTTTTTTTTTTTGGGGCCTCGTTAGGGAAATGTTAGAAAGTAACGAGGAAGCTATAGCGGAGAAAAGCCAAACCATTCCAATCAACAGAAGAAGACATGGAAAACGTTGAGAGGAAGAATGATTTGCAGGAGCTTGAATCAATATGGAAATGGCCATCTTTCACTTTCAACATCAAAGCGGAGTAATTCTTGTCATCACCTCAATGCCCTATTGTAGTTAGGCGTGTTTGGAGGTTGGGAAAACAGCAAAAACAGGAATTTGGCATTGTGTTGAAGAGGGGAAACCCATTTCCTGGTAGTGGTTGCGACTTTTGGATGTATTCTCGGGGGACCACTTTCTGGGAACCCACGAAACCTACAAGAGTCCAAATGAAATATGAGATGGGAAAAAAAGAAAAACAAAGAAAACTTTGGTTTTGAGATTACTTTTAAAACTGTTTATTTAAATGCTCACTAAAAGTGGTAGGCACGGCTAGGCTGGGACAAAGGACGTGGAACCATGTCTTTTTATTGACTTTCTTGCCCTGCCTCTCTGCATTACATATAAAAACCATAATTTCTCTCTTGACAGTGTCCAGCACTAAAAAGCAATCAGCTTGGGAACAAAGACTTTTCAAAGCTTTGATCTTTTTTTTTTTTTTTGGTTGAAGTTCTCAAGGGCCTCCTGTTCCGCGTGTCTTGTTATGGGGTGTCCTTAGTAAATTAGTTGTTTGTGTCTTGAGAAATATTCCGCAATACGACAGAGAGGAGAGTCGTTGTCAAGAAACGGGGCTTTTCTTTATTGACAAAAGAAAGGCTTTCATGTGTTTGGTCAGTAGTGAGTACCTTGCTTTTTTTAAGAGCATTAATTAAACTACTACGTCATTGCTTGTGGTTTGCGCGTTTACACCATTTTCCCATCTCACTATTCTTCCATTAATGCCCCCTTTTTGTTTCTTTCTGTTCAAATGTTACTTCTTTCCTCAACCGCCCTTTTATTACCCATTTGTTTCTGCTTCTGCTTCTCTTCTGTCAAGATTATCTTTTGGGGCATGTAAATCTAATCGCTCTTTTGCCATTTTGAATTTATAAAAGAAACTAAAGATTAAGTGACACGGAACGGAAATTAATTAAATGAATGGAGGAATAAAGAATTTTCACATGAAGCATGAGAGAAAGTCATATATTGTTTTTGACTTGTTCTTCATATATTCTTATCCTGTTTGGTTTTAAAAAGAGGTGTGGGAATCTGGAATTATTTGAAGGCTCATGGTCAACAGTTGCTGATTTGAAAAATAGAAGCCGGGCCTTATCCTTTGAGTAGCTTAATTATGAAGCCAGCGATGTGTTTATATTATATACTCAAACAGTTTGTGACACTTGCAGCCTCAAAACCAAATCGATTCCTAAAAGGACCTAACAATGCCAAAGCAAGATACAATTTTCATTCTTTCTTGATTCTTTCTTGTTTGTGTGATGAGCTCACTGAATACGTAAAATTGGGGAGATGTAAATGAGTCGGGGGGAACTTGAGAAAGTTAGAAAATCTGCCGACATTTGTTTTTACCATGAAGGGAGTGTTTGGATTGATTTTTCACAAGTGATTTTACAGTGTTCAATATAAGTGCTATATGAGAGTATTTTTTTTCAATTGATTCTAATACGTTCCAAACACCCTGACGTTGCTAAATTTCCAGCCTGCATTTGAAAATGACCCCAAAGTAGAAGACGGGGAGGAAAAAAAGGACTTTTGATTTAAGAGGAGGGAACATGAGAAAATACGAAAACAGAGAAAGTTGTGGTGGTAGATATGATTATGGAGGGAAGCACGAGGAAGAGGATGTTGAGAAAAGATGAGGAAAATGCATCACAAGAAACATGGGAACAAACAAACAACCACACTCTCACAACACATGAATACTAAAAGAAAAGCTTGTTTTCTGATTTTGTCGGTGTAATTTACTTTTATGTGAACCACCCCTCCACCCCCTTGTCTTTTCTGATTCTTAATTGAAATCCCAATATCAGTACAAAATATGAGTTAAAGGTTTGAAAATGAAATCATTGATTACATATTTATATCACTTAAAACAGGTGGCTAAGTGACAAAAAGGAAAATTGAAGAAAAATCTCTCATTAAGGATTGCAGCACTACGAAGATCCTGATAAATTTGTATACCAAAAAAAAAAACTGTTTATTACAAATTTTATTTATTATTTTTTATACAGTTTATTACAAATTATATATATTTATATATATAGAGTATTAACGATCCTTCTCACTATTTCTTCTCACCAGCTAAAAACCTTAATAGACGTATTTTTGTGTAATCTGCTGCTCCTCCTCCCTGCATTCTTTACAAACATCATTTCGCGTTTCTTCTGTGATATGCTTTCGCTCTTATTCACAAAGTCCTCGTGAAACGGTGACATAAAATATTTATAATTTTAAATATGTAAACAACCCATTCAAATTTAAAATTAACCATTGTTACCATCTGATGCGCAAAATCGTGAGCTGTTGAGGCTGGAGCTAGTGACGATGGACGAGTGAATTGTGTGGGCCTGATATTGGGCCTTTGTACTTCTTTGGCCCAACAAAAGTTGAAACTTACCGAATCCTCTAATAATTGGATCACAGCCCTGTTTGACGCTACCCATTGGGGTCAAAAGACATTTCACTGGACGTGTATATGACAATAATATGGAAAATGTTTTTTTTTAATTAATTATGTGAAACAGAACATAAAAAGTGCATACGGGCATCTTTAATTTGATGAAAATCAAACAACATCTAACGTGCATTCGAACGAATCACGAAATTGCTAATAACTGGGTAATTTGTAAACGCAACCTTCATTGATGGGCCTTGAAATCAGGATCCGGGATTTAGAAGGGAAATAATAAGGAGAAATCACTGTGAGATCCTGCAAGAGAATATAATAAAAAGACTAGATGGTTTGTTTTTCCTACGGTTAGTTGTGGTTGAATAGCATTTTCTTTTTGCAACACTTATTTGGGCTACACCCTCTTCTTGGTAGTAGTAGTAAAATTGATTGAGCATTGTCAGTGAGTTGGATTTCACGGGATGTACTGGCCCTTCATAATACGGTGAATTAAGGTTTGGATGCTCATTGGAAGAGATGTGTCTAAGTTTAGTATCCGACATTACTTCAAAAATGATTGCCTCCAAAAAGAAGATATTCATGTAGTTACATGTAGGGAAAATGAAGCAAAGGCTATCCATACAAAAGAAAAATCATGTGAAGCAGGCTAAAGAGTAATCACAATAAAGGATCTGCCAGAATAAGCGGTACGTAAGCGAGATTCCAATGCTGTAAAGGGAAGGTTTCACGAGAGATACCTGTTACTGGGCTAAGGAGTTACTCAGGGAAGGAGCTTAGAGGGTAAGGGGAGGTGGAGGGTTTGGTTTCCGATTGGGTTGGTGTGAAGTCAGCTGTAAGGAGACTGTACGAAAGGTTGACTCACAGACTTTCCTAATCTTTCTACCAATGGCTGGCACGACATCTAGGGGAAATGAAATGGCAACTCGTATGGTCTGGAACTCTACTATGGATCTAGAATCTTCCCTCGCCTCACTAGGACCACTAGCACAAGCTGGGAGCTTGAGATGAAAGAAGAGAAAACACCTACGGCTACATGCCTATTAAGAGCTACACCACGAGTCGAGCTAACTGCATCGGAAGAGGGGACTTCCCTTTATCCTGATTCGCGTTACTTTGGTAATTGACTCTGATAGGATATATGACAAGCACCTTGAGCACTTGTCTTTCTTCACAAAAAGGATTTATCATAAGCCCGATTCCATCATGTCTGAAACCAACAAGGGAAGGGAAATAATAAGGAGAAATCACCATGAGATCCTATGAGAGAATATAATAAAAAGACCAGATAGTTTGTTTTTCCTACAGTTAGTTGAGGCTGAATAGCATTGTCTTTTTACAACACTTATTTGGGCTACACTCTCTTTTTGGTAGTAGCAGTAAAATTAATTAAGCATCATCATTGAGTTGGGTTTAACAGGATGTGTTGGCCTTTTATAATGTGATGAATTAAGGTTTAAATAACTTAGAGCTTATAGAGGCCTAGCATCTCCCAAAAGAGACTCTGCTTCTAAGTTCTAAATACAACCAACAGTTTATGCTATTTCACATTTACCCGAACTTCGAGAACAAGAAACTGAGAAGGGACATGGGGGTTTTGAAACATTCTAAAATGTATTTCTTAGTAGCAGTGGAATCCTAAGTTTTACACCAAAATTGAAACAGGAATGAGCCTAGCGAATGATATTTTACATTAATAATACATAGGACACTAGAACGTTTAAGAACCCATCACAAAATAGCCACGCTTTCACAGCTTCCCTTGTTCATCATTCTGCCTCCGTTATGCATAGTTAAACGAATCAAAACAAAACTAGAAAAAGATACGTAAGTGATTAAATACAATCCCTGACACAAAATCTCTTGGTATGCTTGACAGCAAGAGATGGAGTTATTTCATTATGTTCTCTGCTCTTTCATTCCTTTGAGAGTATCACAATTTTCTCACAGCATATGGAACCTAGTGGCCTTATTGACGCAAACATTATCACAGTATATGGAATCTAGTGGCCTTATTAGCTCTTTTGGTTCTTCATTTTGCCCATTATCAACTTATAACATGATTTTTCCCTATCTCACAAGTAGTCCAGCGGAGGTTCTGATAGGACACTTCTGAGGGCAATGCATTTATTGATTGCCGTAGAGATGGGTTGTTACATTTCAAAAGGTAAAGATATAGCAGACCATCAAAGTTTGGAACATATACAAAATGCCATTCAATTATGATACCAGCAATAAATTAGACTACCTACAGTCTCAAATGGCGATAGATCACTTGTTGAGGTTTGCTGGCTATGCTGCTCCTGCATAAGTATAACCAAAGAATAACAAATTAAAACATAGATGCCATTAAGCTCACATAGTCACATTTCTCTGACTTATTGAGTTGGCACGTAAATTTAATCCACATCTCCAATGAAGTGTTGCTTATGTAGGTACATTCACCAGACCGAAAATGACAGAATGCTCACAAATTTTGATTATAGCAGTAGTGATGTGAGATGTGTTTCCCTGTTTGATAGGACATACGCAGGTGATTCTGCCCCTGCACCCAGGTTATGCTTGAGTAGTTAGGAAATATTACTGTTGTTCTTTCTGATTACTCTGCTTCAATGTGACTTTGCATGTCTGTGAGGGAAATATTCTGACTCTTCTGGAGTTTGATATTCTACAGTTTCTAGTTAAGAAGTTACTTCCATTTTCAAGGCATTATTGTAAAAGAAATTACAAGATGTATGGATTACCCACCTCCAAAAAAAGATCTGAAGACCTTTGATCAGAGTCATTAGCTACATAAAGAGATCATTTTCGGGTATTCCTATCCTATTTCTTCTTGTTATTTCTCTTGGGCATTTAGGTAAAGTATAAAACCCAGACTTATTCTGTAATCATTTCCTCTGGCTATATCTGCAGGGTTACTATTCGGATAACTCCTCTTTAGTAAAGATCGACCATAAAATTTCTGTTTTCCCATTCTTTATACGCTGTCAGTTATTAGTCACAAACAATCTGTCATGTATTTGGAAGGGAAATAAGTTTGCCAGCTGGCTTGATTCATTCTCACGCAGTCTTTAATTAATGTGTTCCATTATATTAGGAATTGGTGCCGTCTTCACAGTTCACATTATGGGGAACCTATATTAGTTCCCACTACTGTTGTTGAAGCATCATGAAATTTCTCGTTATGGTGCCATCCCTTGCATTCCGTATGCTGCACAAAGGAACAAACTGATGATAATATAGCCATTGCAAGTATTATATGCGGAAAAGTAATAGGAAGGTGCTTCATTCTGACATTAATGGCGTGCAATGGCAGCTTCTATGGGGAGGGCCACCTTCCACAGATTCCTGTGTCTTTTCTATGTTTTTTGGGCCCACGCTGTCCGGTAAGGATGCTAATGATGTTACTTATTTGAAGAGTGGCCACACACAAACACAACAAAAACTATACAAATAAAACGTGGGATTCTAGTTGGAAAAAAGACTGAGCAGTAAACATGGGTTTAACAGATCATTGAAGTTCAGGAGTGTTTAGATGAAACCAAACCATGGTTTGGAGAATAACTTTTGGAGAATAAATTTTGGAAAGAATAAATTTTGTGAAAAAATGATTCTAGGAAGTGAGAGTGTTTGGATAGTTGTTATCAGAAGCACTTTTTATATATATACAAATTACTAAAAAAGATATAAGTTAATGTGATAATTATATAAAATATAGATTTTATGATATATTTTAATTTGAAGGAATAAAATTGTTAATAATATATTTTTTTATCAACATAATTCATAATACATAAGATAATATAATTAATTAATAATTAATATGTGTGTATATGTTTATCAGATATAATATTAAATATGTTTATAAAAAAATAATTGAGGAATGTTAAAGTCATATTATTGTTGAGATTTACTCTGACAGGCACAATCATACTTTTCAATTTGAGCCAGAAGCAAAATAGATTCACTTCTCCTGAAACTATAGTTTTGGAACCCAAAACCATGATTTTAGCCCAAATCATAGTTTCAGATTATTTTTCTAAAATTGATGCTGTTTGGGTGAAATCCCATCCAAACCATGGTTTTGCCTTCCAAACTATGGTTTTGAGAGAGACCCAAACAGGCCTTTCATCTTCCAATTCCACCACCATTCATTCAGGCAATGTGCCACACAGTAATTGTTTTGTTAAGTCTTTAACTAATCTCACCATTTTTTTTTATTTAGATTTGTCTTTCCATTGCCTCACGTCCCATCATCATCGTAATATGCTAGGTTGGCACGCCCAGAGACAACTAGAAAGAGTCATTCCAAAAGGCCTATTCACCACAATGGGCCTATTCACAGGGTCCTCAAAGTGAGTGATGATTGAGGAAGATGATGAATGCTTGCTCCCTCACCTTGCATTCGCCATTACAGAAAGCAGCACTTCGTGCTTTCACAAAGCTGTAAAAAAGCTGATCAACGGTAATGAGGCCCTCACAAGGATCTGCTTTTAAAACTGAAAACAAGGGAGAACCCTTCACAAAATAGCGACACTTGAGAACGCCAGAAATTGAAACGATAACGAGTCCAACGAATCATATTACATCAGTAATATATGGGACCCTTGAGAACGAGGGAAAATTACAACTAAATCTTAAGAAAAGAAAATAATTACTAAAAAATCTTAATAAGCAAGTTCTTACATTAAATTTGTCATTTTTTACCATTGAGATTTTTTTAATAATTATATTTCTTTCCTAAGACTTTATAGAAACTCTCACTGGAATAAGTAAGAACCCTTCGCAAAACAGCTACACCATCTACCATATTCACATTTCACGTCGCTTGTTCATCATCCTGCCTCCATTATTACATAATTAAATTAAATGAATCAAAACAAAACTACAAAAAGACCCTTGATTATATAATCCTAGATGTGTCATTGTGGGTGGTGAGAATTTCCAACTTTACCCTCTCCATGCGTTGCATTGTGCAGTAGGCCTCGTTATCTGTTTCCCAGACCTCAAGGGGCATGGCGTCTGTATGGGCGGGACCATGCAGTTGTACTGAAGACACAACGAGCTGCTCACTGGAATCTCAGCCGTTGGACTGATCTCAATGTCGGTCAGATAGTTGTGCTGCAAATACAGTATCTGTATTCTAGCTGCCAATAGCCGGTCCACGAAGTTGCTCGGAACCCGACCCGTGAACCGGTTGTTGTTGAGGTATAGATTCTCCACGGTCGAGAACATGGGCGATATTTGACCCGAGAACTCGTTGTGGCTGAGATCGACCGTTGGGATTGCGACCTGATTAACCGGTTGGACAGGGCCGGTGAATTGGTTCCTTTCCAGTTGAAGATTGGTGAGTGGAAATGAGAATATGTGAGGCGGAATGATGCCTGTGAACCGGTTCAAGCTAAGGTCCAAGTAGTTCAACTGGTTCATCCGGTTCAAGAGCCGATCCACTGGGCCGCTGAGATTGTTCCAGGAGAGGGAGAGATACTGGAGTGAAGGAGGGAGAGAATTGGGAGCGAGCGAGCCCGTGAGAGAGTTGTGCTTCAGGTCAAGTCGAGTAAGGGTGTGTGACGCAAACGAGGGGACTGAACCGGAGAGGTGGTTGTGGCAAAGGATCAAGTTGCTTAGCTCCGGTAAGGCTCCAATGGACGGAGGAATGCGTCCAGTGAGCTGATTGTAGCTGAGATCGAGGGTTCTGAGATTGCGCAACCCGCCCAAGTGCTCTGGAATCACGCCGGAGATGAAGTTCCGGCTAACGCCAAGGAATCTGAGGTTCTTCAAATTGGAGAGTGACTGAGGCAGAGAGCCGTAGATTCTACCAGGCACAATCGTGAACTCGGTGAGAGCAGATAGCTTACCAATCGCCGGGTCGAGCCTACCCGTCAGACCGGGAGAACCAGCTCTGGGGTCGCCGAGATTAAGGGCAACAACCTTGTCGGAATCACAGTAAACCCCGGCAAAATTACATGGTTCAGCGGTGAAATCCCAAGAGGAAAAGAAATCCGACCCCGGCATGTCCTTGAGAGACTTGCGAATCGATTGCAGGGCCAAGAAATCAAGAGGGTCCAACATGGCAAGCGCATGGAAATGACACTGCAACTGTGCCAAACACATGAAAAGCAGAACATACGAAACAATGCCGCATCCCGGCTCCCTCGGCCACGCCATGAGAGGCGAAGCTAAAAGCGTAGGCAAATACGGTAATGAAAAAAGAGGCGAGAGGAAGTGGAAGTCTAAGACGGCGGAAGCAATAGTGACGGCATTAAGTAGTGAAAGTCAGAGATTTTATAGAGATTAAGAGAGTGAGAAATCAGAGGCTTGGAAGAGAAGCAAGAGATGAGAGTCTAGTACTGAGCTGAGCTTTCAATGGGGCCTTCTTTATTCTTGGCTTCTCAGAGAAGATGATGCTATTCACACCACGCAGCGAGTACAACCAGAGGCGGAAGCTAAGTTATCAGCAGGGCAATTATTATCATTATTTTAATAAACATGCACTCGTTCTGTTTGCTCTTGAGGTTCGGGTGAAACGGCTGTACGAGCCTACGTGGAAGCCGAAGCTATGGTCTGGGAAGAGGGATGATGAGATGGGCTCCAGTGGAGGCCACGCGGGCCTTGGGCCGGGAAAGCAGAAAAGAGGAGGCAGCTGTAAAAAGGAAGGCACGCGAAAGCGACACGTGTGAGGGATCAAATGATAGGACAGTGTTGGCGCAAGGGAAAATGGGGGCACGCACGGACAGGGTCGCTGGGAAAAATAAAAGCCGTGTAAAGGTGTACCTTTCTTGCTAAACTCAACAATGATGGGGCATCGATGCTTCTCACATCTATAATACAATAATCTCTTTAATGAAAGCCAAGGGGCATGGACGAGATGAGATATGATATGAATATGATAGCTGAGTTGCATTATGAGGGTGATTGTGAGAAGTAATTGCCTTGCCCGATTAGCGAAGTTACTGGTGAAAGCCATACCTACTGAAAAGTTCCCTTTTCTCTTTGTTCTCTGTTTTCCCATTAAAAACCGGCAACTTCCATAACTAACACACAGCAGTGTTCTGAAGGCACAGGTGGATATTTAAGGAGTGGGCATAGCACAGCCACAACTACTTATCCATAATGAGAAACACAAGTGTGGGAACCCTCAATGCATTAAACAATGGAACGACCGACCTTTTTAAGGGTATGAAATCGTGCGTGTGAAGGAACGAGTGGAGTGAGTACTTGAGTTAGGTCACAAAGAAGCAAATACCATCCTATCAAAATGGGGCTGCCTTTGCCTTGTGGGGAGGTAGTAACTCACAAACCATTGAAATGGGCCCCCCATGTTCTTAAAGGTTTGTATGCCCATCTGAGCCAACCACACCAACCATCCCTTCTAACTCTTCTCCTACTTCAAGTTGCACGAGGTGTGAAGAGATTTTTTTAAAACGGAAACAATTAGTCCCAATTGAAGTTTAGGGGTTTGGCTCTACAATTGTGGTAACGGGATATTCATGTAACCTTGTTCTGCTGTTTGTTTCAACACAAGCTATGTCCTCCAACATCTTCCGCAGTCCTCACAAAGCTTTACTCTTCCTTGTTCACATTTTGTAAGCTCTTAGAACTTCTCTCTAGTGCAAGGCCTTCTTTTAAATCTTACTACTTCCGGTCCTTAATACTCTAATCTATTTTGTCTCTGATATTTTTATATTTTTTTCTAAGATAATTTTTCTAATAATATTAATTCTAACCAACACACTTAATTAGTAAAGATATTTTAAGAAATACAACATTTATTTATTACAAATAAATAACTTAATTTATTTTCTTAATCTCCTCAAATTAGTCAACTAGCTCTTATAATTAGGACCAGAAATAGTAATTTGAAAAAAAAAAAAATTGCAACTTGGGGAGCAAGATAATGTGTTTCTTTCTCCCCAAGTAAAGGAAGCTTTCGAGAGAGGGTAACTGCTTTTGACCCTCCAAAGACGGAACTCGAGAGCATCAAGTGGCATGCGAACTCGAGTAGTTGCTCTTTTACAACATCTGGCGAGTGAACTCGAGTGAGAAAGTGTCGTGACGTGAGAAAGAGAGAGATTGCATAAAAAAGAAAATTGAAAAATCGAAGTTATATTGTGTAAGCTATATTTAGTACCTGTTTGACTCAGCGTTTTCTGACCCAAAAACAGCTTATTTTTATATTAAGCCCGATTGAAAAATTATGGGTTGTTTGGGAGGACTGGTGGGGGATCTGATATGGAACCAAAACCCAGATGTAAACATACGTTTTGGATAAGCTAATTTGAGGAGCTTATTCAAACTGAAACTGAGCTTATGGACCAAAAAACACTGACCCATTTAATTTTAAACTGAGCTAATTCACTCATTAAATTTTACTTCTTCATATTAAATTAATTGAAATTCATTGTATTATGTAAATTTATTTTTTTATCATGTTTTATTATTTATTAAAACTTATACTTATTTTGGTAATTTTGTAAACAGACTTACTTTTATTCAATCATAATCCAAACAATCTTTTACCAATATAACTTTTACAAACTAACTTTTTAAACTTTAATCTAAACACAATTCACCTTACCCAATTTAACTTTTACCTAATCTTACTTTTTTAAAAATCAGATTGAAAACAAACTACTTTTTTCACTGTCAATCCAAACAGACCCTTAATGTGTTCACTAACTCTAAGATTCTCTCTTCCTTATTAGATCGACACTTTTTTCTAAATTTATACTACATTCTGTTCTTAATATAAGAACTTATTTGACATTTAATGTGGTTTAAAATATAAGACCCAAATTTATTTTGTCTTTGATGTTTATCTATTATTTTCCAAGATAGTCCTTGTAGTAGTTGTATATGTTAATGGTTTTATCAAATGATAGTTTTAACTAATAGACATGATTAGTAAAAAAATTTTGAAAAATACAACACATATTTATTACAAATACCTAACTTAACTATTTTTTTAATCTACTCAAATTAGTTAACTAATTTTTATATTAAGAAATGGAGGTAATATATCTCTGCGAAAAATTAACTTCATATTATCATGTGAAAAGATACATAAATCCATATTTATTCAAGTAATACATACTAGAGGGACAGAGCTAATTATACGTGTAAGTTCCACATTTTTTTTTAGTAAAAATAGATATTTAACCTTTTAACTTAATATAAAGTTTCAATTTCATTTCTTAACTTTAAAAAAGAATATTATTACTTCTTTTATCCCAAAATTATTAGTTGTAATAATTATAATTGTTTATGTTAACATTTAACAATATTTTATTAATCTTTAGTATCTCAATGTTATTATTTTTTAACGGTTTTATGATTATGACACTAAAAATACACAATCTTAAGGAATCAAAATAAAATTTTATATAAAGTTAAAGAACAAAAAATACTCCATATTTTTATCCCTTTTTCCGTAATAGTTCTCATATTTTAGAATTCGATCCCTTTAAGAACTAGAGAGCAGAGTTGTCTATTTTTCAAAAAGCGGACCGAACAATTTTTTTCGCTTCATGAAGAAAGCATCATATCAATAAAATAAGTCACGAATTAACATTAATAATTGTCTGTAAGTTCGAATCAAATCGGCCGGCGAGCCCAACAAGTCAATAATTCTGGTCGACTCGTTGTACTCCTCCGGTCCTTATTATAAGACTCAATTTGACTTTTTATTTGGTCCTAATTATAAGACCCAATCCATTTTCTTTCTTATATTTATGCATTTTTTTCCAAGATAATCCTTCTAATAATGATAGTTTTAGCCAATATACTTAATTAGTAAGGATATTTTAGGAATAACAACACTTATTTATTATAAATAACCAACTTAACTTACTTCCTTAATCTCCTCAAATAAATCAATCGGGTCTTATAATTAGGACCAGTATTACCATTTCATCAAAACATCATATGCATTGCTTTTACAATTCTTGCATTTGAGAAATATGATAGTGTATCATACTACCTCCAGTCCTTAATATAAGACCACAATCCTTTTTGTCTCTCATTTTTTTTTTTTCAAAATAGCCTTTCTAACAATGATAGTTCTAGTCAATACACTTGACTAGTAAGGATATTTTAGGAAAGACAACATCTATTTAGAATAAATAACTAACTCAACTTACTTCTTTAATCTCCTCAAATTAGTCAACTGGCTCTTATAATTAGAACCGAAGGTAGTATATTGTAGGAACCTAAAGTCAGACAAGAAACCTTGTTTAGTCTAAAATTTAGGTGCGAAACATGTCATTATCAGTCCAGAAAATCCTAACTAAAATTTCAATCAATATTCATACAAGGGTTCAAAATTCAAACAAATAAACTAGATCAACAAAATGAGTGAAACATGTGTGTACTGTTAAACAACAGGATATATAGAACCAGGACTTCTATATATAAATAATCCTTTATTCACATCAGCACTATCCCTTCCACAAAATCATTCAGAAACTGCCATGTTGGTAAACTTTATAACCCTTTAAAAACTCCTACAGATCATCTGTACCACCAAATGTTTTTGGCTTTGGTAATCATTCTCACTTTCCCATCTACTCCAGTGAGGGGATTTTACCACCAGCAGAACGGAGCTCTTGTTCCAGCTGCAGCAATTCAAAACAGTGAACAATGTCAATAATCACAGATGTTATTCCCACCAATAGCTTTGAACAAGTTACACACTTACCCTGAACAAGTACATGAGATGGCCCTTTAGGGAACTGTATTCATTCTGCAATTGTTGCAACAATCTCCAACACCTGCACCAACATTTGTTTACACAAGTCATTGTCGTATCATTTTTGCATGCTTCTACTTTAGCAAGATTTCAGAATCTTGTGAATCAATAGCATGCATGTATGACTATAAGTAAGTGCTGATGGAGAAGCCTGCCATTAACAAATTTTCAACTAGCTGAGAGAGTTGGCTGATTATTCACTTCAGTCTCCAGCAGCCGATTTATATCCTTCAAACTGAAATAACCAAAAAGCCTAGAAGCTGCATAATCTGGGTTCTCTTAGAGTTAAATTGTCTGAGGCAAGCAAAAAAGAACCAGAGTGCAACTATGACCTCCATTTTTCTTTTTCCACCTACTTCCCCTGTTTTTTATACTTTTTTTAATGGCTTGCACAAACGTCTCCTCTTTTTGTGGGCACCTCTACCGACTGAAACATTCACCATGCTATGAGAAACTAACTTTTTGTACCAAACCCAAGCCCCATTGGCTGTTTTCTAAACTTTTCTCTTACTTCAAAAGGACTTTATAAGCTATCTAACCTGAGAGGATCCGTGTCGTTTATTAAAGGGTATCAACAATTGTTCAATATTTTCCCTCACAAATCTGAAATACTTAACATGCGTAACTGATATTAATTTCATTGGAAGTTTCAAGTTTCACCTTAAAAAAGGCAGTCCAGGGACAAATTGTCACGGTGAGTCTAAAGTATAAGACAAATATCACCATGATAAGATAAACTTTAAAGTTTGTTTGTGAACGGCGGAAAAGAAATTCATGGAAAAAGAATAAAAATATCATGATACAAAATCATTAGTTTGCTTAAAATGCAACGATAATAGCAGAGGAGCATGAGAATGAACAGAATATTCCAAGCTTTAAACAACTAAATCCAGTCTCTAAATATGGAGACAAACTATTTTTAAAAAACAAAAAAAAGAAGACAAGTTTAAACATAACTTTTAGTCATAGCATCTTTATCTTGGAGTAAAAACTCAGCATCCTCATAGAATCAGAATAATATCTCCCTTATAGTTGGGGAAAATAAAAAATAAAAAAATATAAGGAATAAAGGACCTCATAAATCCATAACAAGTATCCTATTTTCCCTTCGTAATGCTTTCCGCGACCCGAAATTAATTATAGGGAAAAGTCACACCGATTTGACTACCCATAACATCTGCACCTTATAAGACACTTTTTGTTATCAACCAATGATCAAAAGTCCAAAGGAATAGCAGAAAGTTTATGTTCAAATAATGAAGAGAACTCACCCCTCGTGGTCCTGATTCTCGCAGCAATTTCTGAACTTCATGCAGATGTTTTTAATTCTCGCAGCTCCAATGCTGTTAGGCCATATATCTTAATTAGTAACATAATCATAAACTTGGGGTTTTTTAAAAAATTTTAAAAAATGCTCTCTCGTTAGCAAGTACTTGGACTAGGCTTCTAACAAATCCTGAAAGCCAATCTTAGCTTTCATTTGTAATTGGTTTCTTTAAAACCGGTCGCTGGTCCCGTTTTGACTTGGTTTGCTGGTTTTTGACGGGTTATACCGGCCTTTGACTGGTATTTTATTTGTTCGGTTCTGGTCATTTTTCACAATGAGCTGATTACTAGTTCACCGTTTTCCACTATAATTTGGATTAGTTAGGTCGAATTTTGAAAACCACGCTTAAATGAAATAAAAAAAGAAATCCTTTTCCAGCACAAGAAATTTACAATCTAGTTCTTGTGAATGCAATAACAGATAATCGCATGTATACCTGGCACTGCTTCCCTTGAATTGATGAACATGTGCATCTACTTGTTTGAAATCAACAGGTGCTTGAGTTCTACAAGTGAAACAGAACCCAGTCACTATCTTCCTTAATTACATGAAATGTAATAAGAGCAGTCCCAGAAAGTGAGTCCCATAAGAAGAAAGGAGAGAAAATTCTTACAGAATCTTTTTCATGTTGTCGATGAGTTTTTCAGAATCATCAAAGTACATCGTCACGACCTCTTTCACAAAATCAGGACTGCTGTCATCTTGCAGCCTTTGAAGCTGTGTGAACTGATCGTCGATAAATCCCTTCTCACATGTAACAAAAACCCACCCACATTCAGAATCAAGCCCAACAAACCCAGAATAACACAACAAAGTTTTGAATTAATCACAAGGATCAAATACTACAGGTCTAGTTAAAGAATTGAACTCTTGTCAGATACTTCTTCACAACACAAAATTACCCGCCGGGGGGGTGGAAAGGGGGGGAAAAAAAGAACAGTGTATCAGCATACATATAATCCTCACGTTGAGCACAGAGAAGAAGAAACACAACAGAACTTAAAGATTACAGAGATTCAGACAACAGTCAGCCATAGTCCCAGGACATTGAAGAGAAATAAACCGACCTCCTGATGCATTGAAGCTTGAAGCTCGCGCAGCTGCCTCTGCAGCTGAAGAACATCCATGGTCATTCCCTCGCGTTGTCGAATGGCAGATCTCAGAAACTCTCAGGAAACAAAGGTTTGAAGTTTGGATTTTGACTTCAAATTAAGAGTGGTTGAATAGAACCAAAACCTCTCTCTCCGTTTCTCTCTCTATAAACAAGCCTGCTCTGCTGGTAAAAACCGCTAATACACACCGAGATATATATATATATATATATATATATATATATATAAGAGGGTGGCAGCGTTTGTCTTTATAAGAAGGAAAACTTTTTCTTTTTCTTTTTTTTTTTCCGGAGAAAGATGATTTTATGGAAGGAAGAGGGAAAGGCGGTAAAAGGGTTACCAGAAATGGCGGATTTCCTTGCGTAATTCAAGACTTGCTGCTTCAGGTTATGTCTCTCCGTTAATGTATTAAGACGTTACCTACAAAAACAAAAAGGCCTCCTTTGTTTTTTCCCACTCAGAAAATGACTCCGAATTCCTTTTAAAACACAGACCTCGTTAAATGATAGCAACACGATACAAAACCAATAAAACGAAAACATAAATGCTGATCCCCGAACGTCTCACCTGCAAATTTTGGAAAGCAAACAAAAATAGATAGTACAGATTGGTGCTAGAATAAAGTTTGTCATTTATCATTTATTTAAATAAATTTATTTAAACAGAAACAGGATATATTTCTGACCAAAAAAAAAAACAGAAACAGGATATAGTAAGAAAGAGCAAAGAGGTAAAATCATTGATTTTGCTGGCCAAAAAATGGATTTGGGTGGAGCTGCCGGTTTAAGTGATCCATTATCGAATAAAATCTGAAGGGACCAATAAGAGCAGACAGCTAGGGAGCCACATGTGTTTGTCGACTCATACACGGCTTTCAACTACAACCACTAGTCAGCTGCTCATGAAACACACAATTCTGGGGTTACGTTGTTCCAAAATGTTTATTCTTTGTTTAGTGCCTCCCTCACTAGTGGAAATACACACGTTCAGATTTTCCTGGTAATATGTGATTTATCTACTGCAAAAAACATCTTTTTTTTCTGTTTGGTTTATGTCGTTCCCAAATGTTTATTCTTGTTTAGTGCCTAGCTCTCTAGTGCAACGGCACATGCTCAGATTTTCCTGGTGATGTGTGATCTGTCTGATGCAGAAAGAAAAGCTTTTGTTTTTAAATCCTGTCACTACCCTTTTCAATTTATAATTAATTAGATTCCTTATTATGATGTCCTTGGTTGTATTTTCCATTCATGAGTATGTTTCTGGAATTTTCCATCTCTTGAAAAATGTGGCAACTAATGACTTGGTCTACCACAATTAAGATCGGCGTTGACTAAACGCGTCTGGAGTTTGAACAATTGAAATCCTACTCTTTCTTCTTTTATAAGTTCGGGAGATGAAGGTGAAGCTGGTCTATTCTCAAAATTCATGCGCAATCAATAACTACTATTCTTAAATATAAATCAATTTAATTTAATAGGTTGAATTCTTGTTACGAAATACACCCTCCAGTTCTTATTATAACTTTCAAATAACTAATTTACTGATAATAAATAATTAGTTAAAAATAATAAATGGATTAAAAATACACTTTTGTTTACAAATATATATTTATAATAAATGAGAAAAATAATGAAAGAAAATACGTGAAAAAAATATGATAAGAGAGAAATAATTAAGAAAAATATTAAAAAAATACATTAAATATTAAAACAAATACAAATCAAAGCTTATAAAATGAACCACATTCCTTTTCAAATTTCAAGTTTATAACTAGGACCAGAGGGAAAAGAGAAAAATGCATCCGATCACCAAAACCATCAAAATACTTTTAATATTAATATATATAATAAAATTTATATTCACATATAATAAATAGTTCAACCATTTTTTTAAAAAAATCCTACGCTTATACATTAGTCTCTCTAATTAAAAAAATGTATAAAGAAACATGTAACTTTTTTTGTTAAATTATTGAAAGAAAACATCAATCTGGTTCTTTCCTACAATAATAGTATTATTCATATTCTTAATATAAGATATAAGATCTAGTTTGTAGTCCTCAATAAAAATATATTAAAATCAGTAACATGGTAAGAGAAGACAGTGACACAAACATTTAAAAAATAAAAATAATTTTTTTGCCAGAAAAACAAAAATGTAGATGATACAATTCCGCATTTTGAACACTAATTTTAGTAGTATACTTTTGCTAAATGAGTAATAATCCTCGAACAAGAAAGGAGTGATATGGAAAGACAGTGCTGTTCCAATAAAATTAGACTTATAAAAGAATTAGCATTACTCTTATAATCAAAATATAATTTTAATGCATCATCAGCCAAAGATGGCATAATTGTAATCAACCCACCTAACTGTAATAATGATAAACTAATTACACATAGTGTGTTTAGATATCTCTTCAGAGGATGTTGCATCACATACTAGGGCTTTTGGACAAGCATCCATTTAGACTGCACCAAACAAACAGACAGACCGACCGACCCATCACTTAGTCAAAGAAAAATAAAAATGTAAAAAGGACCAAACAAACTATCATTCCATTTAAATCACGCCTCGTATTGATTGGGGAATTTAGAGCTTGTTTGGTTTCTTAGAGCCCCCTCTTTTGCCATGTTATACTATCTTCTAAAAAGAAACGTTCCAACACTCAAATTTACCTCAAATTGACTATTTCATTTCCTGCCCTTGTCCAAGTTCCAAACATAGCCTAAGACGTCGGTAATGAGTGAACGAGTTCTACATTCAATTTCTCTCCATTCTCTGTCTGCCTGCCAGCACAAGGATTTGCCTGAAGGATCCAATCAAACACCACACCAACACAATGAATGGGGAGAAGAAGGCATCCATGAAAACAATATTAACTGATCCTTTACAACATCATTTTGGCCCGACTCCTGGCCAATTCAATAATAATTATGTTTTTAAAAAAAAAAGTTATACAACGTGGAGGGAACTCCATGCCCTGCTCCTATATACAGGCAATCTTAGATAAAATGATCAGCAGAGGAATGTGCATTCGAGATACATTCACTCAGCCTTCCAGATAGACCATAGCAACCGAACCAGCAAAACATGAATACTTGAATTCCCATCTACAGAATGTACAGGGTGACAGAAAGAGAGAGAGATCACACAATTGAGCAGCAAATAAACCTTAATTGCAGCCATATGCAATTTCTTATTCACGACTTCGTTGATGCCATAAATGACCCTCCTCAAACGTGAAGATCAACCTAAAAAATGATTAAACTCATGAGTCGATTAACAATAGATGACCATATTATAGCTGCATGGGGTATAATAGCAAAAAGGGTTACAAAATAGCTGCAATTGCAGCCGCTGTCTAAGATTTTACCTTCCTCGGAAAAGGCAAATATGCCACCAAGCATTTCCCCATCTTCTCCATCCTCCCCTGGTTGCTCCATTTCATGCCGGCCACTGCTGCCATCAACATCATCAGTTACACCTTCAGTCAATGAGTCACTTCCATGATGCTCCAATGTCTTGCAGTGGTCATCCTGGAAAGGTTGACCCACAACTCCTTTGCCATGCATTATTGATGGCACCCCTGGAGGTTTTCCCATGGGAGCATCTTGGTCTGGTACTGGCACTGAGCCGTCATTGATCCCAACACCTGCATTTTCTTGCATTCCCGGTGTTACCCCATTCCCCTGAAATAACAAACTGCTTTGGATGCTATGGTCAGCATGAGCATCAACATGCTTCGAACCTCCGGAAAGGAAAGAAAAATTTTCTGGCAACGTATGGTTCTGCAGAGGAGGCTCAACAATGATTGTCCCCATCCGTTCCAAGTAGATCTCATTAAGCATCTGACAACTGGATGCAACTTGATCCAGGTCAAGAAAATTTTCAGTTCTTCTTGATGAACCTAAAGGTACAAAAAGGACAACAATACCATCACCATTAGATATTAAAAAAAAATTTACAGAAATACTTAGGAGCAGGATTTAGAAGTAAAACAGATTTGCATAATATTGGGGAAGGATTTTCTACATGCAGCAGATGCAGGCAATGCAAAAAATTACCAAAATGCAATGATTTGTAATGGGCACCAATATTCCTCCGCTGAGTCTCTGACAGGACCTCAATGATTGCTTCCCTCTTTCTCCACAATTTATGAAACTAAAAAAAGCTGGTTAAGTAACTTTACGTGGAATAATATCTTACCCCCATCAGAGCTTTCTGTAGAACTGAGTGACGCTGGCTTTGAGTGACAAATAACCGTCACTTCAGCAGATGTCTTGTCTTCAGCTTGATGAGAAACCGAAGATGAAGAGCTTGAAGATCTTTCCCCAGTAAAACCTCTGAGTAAAACAACAAAATATTGACTATATAGCGTTGCTGGATAATACTATATGCATTGTGCAAGACATTACATCTAAGTGATCAAGGTAATCCAAATCAACATATCATAGTGTCACTGTGAGGAGCAGATGCTCAACACATTGATGACCTTAGAAACCTAGCAACATCTGATAAAACTGATTTTCTCCGTAAGGAACGCATGCAGAATTGCATTGCACACTTTGATACTAACATTCAGCGTAGGAAAAGAGGAAACACTTGATAATTTCTCTCCTTCAAGGGCGAGACCAACAGAGCAGATATAGTGAAGGCCAACAACCTTTATAATATGAGAAAACAAAATAATCCTCAGTTCAATCTTAAAATTCCATGGTTGCAGGCAAAATTCTATAAACTAGAATCACATAAAACTTAGATATCCATACAAAATATCAATAGATATCAGGTGCACCTCAAGATAGCCAAATAAGTGAAACCAATATGCAGTTATCTTAATTGTACGCCACTGTCATGGGCAATTGTATTAACCTATTTACTCTATATGCCAGGATGCAGAATCTGGGAATGAATAACAATATGGGTATCACCTCTCGTTCCAGCTTGGTCTGATGCTATGGAAATGGTCAAAAACAGGCAATAGCTCCTTCCGTTTTACTTCAACTTCATTGACAGAGATCTGTTCAATTTCAGACTCTCCACTAGCAACAGTACTAGTTCTCAAAGAATTCATAGAATAGAAGCAAATCTGTTAAAATGAGGAACATCATTAACAGAACCAACCAAATTAACAATCCGCACAAGCATGGAAACTTTTGCATAAAAGATACCTTAGA